TCTCTCACAATCATACGGTGGTTTTGGGACGTTAAACGCCACATATCAATCAATAAATTGTTCATCGTGTGTGAGCGTGCGCCACGTTCAATTCACGTATGTGCTGGGGAAAGCATAAATGAGCCCTTACCGCATTTTAAAAGTGCAAGTCGAAGCAGTTAGGTGGCGAATGTCTTAGAAAAAAATTAAATGATGGAACTCGAAAGGCAAACATGCGACTCTGCATGCGGTGCCTGCATTTGTGTGCACGACGTTTTACCTGTAGAGCAACTACAAAATACAATATGGAGTAAGGATCCGGTTATGAGACTATTTTCATGTTCTAGTCGCACGAGCTGACATGCGGTCAGACGTATCGGTGTCGATGCCACGTTGAAGAATGTCGTAGACACTATACTGTGTGGTGCTCATGCCACTGCATTCATAGGTCTTGCTTTGGGCGATACGCGCGCCGTGTTCGAGGTAATTGAAATCAGCTTCTTGCTAGCCTGTACAAATAGTCTTCTATCGTTTCTTCTATTTTATTAGTCCATGCATTTTCGAATCTTATGAGGTACTTCAATCTTAACGGTGCTGAACAAGCCAATACAAAGATGAATGTGGTCACCGAAGCTATCAGATTTCTTGAATGAATGGTCTATTTCATTTCAACTCATTGTCGGAAGTAAGGAAAGAATATCGTAGCAGTGCAAAGGATGTTGGCTCGGCCGCTTTTGTTCTAAAATCATGTGAGTATTGCGTGAGATGCTAGCAGCTCACCTGAGAAATTCGTGCGACCGGGCCTCCACATAGTGACGTGTTTCCGGAAACGATTGAGTCTGGCTTTAGGCTGAAAGCACGTAATGGCTCACAATCGCGGCTTCCGACCATCCTTCTGTCTGTGCTCTGGAATGACGCCAGTCACGGCCTTTTTCTTTAGAAGCGCAATGGAAAAATCCTAACGAATGTTCCTGCCAATTTTCGCACATGCACGCATACATGCTTATTCACTCCCTGTCTCACTCCCTCACTCACTCACCTGTCACTCGCATATACTTGAACCACGACATGGCACCGTGTTCATGTGTCCGGCAGACGGTGCTTGGTGTGGTCCCCAGAATTCGTCGATGAAAAGCGCACGGATTTCTATGTTAGCGGTTTTTCATTGTTGACTCAGATCAGCTGGTTTGAGGACACCGCCTACGCTGACAGTTGTAAAGCTAATCGTACGCCTTTTTGATTCCAAGGCTGATTTTGGTGCTTGGAAATTAGGGCGCCTAGCGACAGATATGGTTTCTCATTGCGGAAAGCGGTGACGGCACACTACTATTGCAGCTTCCGTCACGCTTTGCACGGGTTTTCAATCAACATAATTTATACAGCCCATCTCTATATCTGCGTCGTGATGCCGATGGTGTTGCAAAGGAATTCTTTTGAAGGTTACAGAACACATTCTTTGCATACCTGATATTTTTGTAAACTCCGATGACCTGGATCGTCAATGTAAGCTTCTGTAATGCGTGCGTTGTCTTCTGTCTGCTCCCTCCGAAAGGGTTCTTGGGGAGAAACAAGTGGTGTATATGTGACGTGACCCAAAGTAATATGGCACTTGACTGCTTATTGACACTTGGTAGCCACTGGTTTTCAAGTTGAGCTTCTTTTCTTATTAATAACGCGGTGGCCACCGCTGCTTCGTGATCTGATAGCGCCACTGACAGGCACAGTAAGGCTGAGTGTTTCAGAACAGCGTCTCCAACAGTGTTATATTCTTTCTCTTTGCGCAGCGAGGAGTATGGTGCCTTTCAACAGCCGAATCGGGAAGGTGCGGGCCGCGAGGAAGGAGATTCGGGAAGACATCCCCTCTTCAAGGCCCCTGTCAAGGTAGGTTACGTATAAAACGACCAAACATGGTTGTGGTCGGTACCACTGTACGAATTAACGGTGACTGTGCGAGGAGACTTTCCAAGAGTGCACTAGCATAATTTTATTCGGGAGACAGTCTTCCTAGCAATCCCGTAGGTCCTAGAAGTCCTGGGTTCATCAAGAGTTGGGAATCAAATTCTGAAGATGCATGACTTTTCGTTGTGCTTACTGAGAAGGTTTAGCTTTAGCTGCTGCATTGTCAAAAAAATATTAAAATCAATAATACTAAACAACGGGGAAAGTGTGTTGAAACCAAAAAAGGCAGCGATGCCACAAATCTACGCCACATTAGTAAAACACGGTACACATTTGATAGGATCATGAAAACGACAAGGCAGTACCGTTTTACGATGTGTTGGGCTGGCTGAACTCCTGAAAGATTGACATGGCCAGCATCAGTAAAGCTTTCGAGTTGAAGGGGGATGTTGCGTGTGACATCACAACAAAATGGTAGCTTGCATTTAGTCCCTTATGGGAAGACATGATAAAAGAGTCTGCAACCAGTTTTTGATAATTCATCTTCAAGAAAACTAGCTGAATAAAAATGTATGGTTTGGAAAATATCACTAGGGAAGAAAAAATATCGTGTATAGAAGTTTATATTAAAAAAACCAAAAAAAAGTGCTATGAAGGAAAAGCTGAGGCTGGATATGATGAGGGCTCCTCAGACAAGCTAAGCCAAGACTACCTTGCCGAAGGCCGGTTAGCTTATGACTAGGTTTTTTTCACTTGTTACCATTAGGCACATAAAATATTTACAAGGCTGATAAAACAACAGGGTATGGCAGTCTTTTTAACATTGCTGTTCACAGTGACACATCTTTTTTGTTTTATTTCCCATAGTTATGGTAGCATTTGTTGCACATGTTTGGCGCAGCAGCAGTTGTATGAGCGATGTTTTAGTGGCTTCTACTCGTAATTGCTGTAGTATATTGTGCTTGGGGGCTGGTAAGCGACCACCCTGAGACGTCTTCCTTCAAAAGCTACCAATGATACTCGTGTAAGCAGTAGGCAGAAAGATGGAACACGAATACAAAATAAGTGTTCTAGCTATATATTTATTATCGGTTTACCTAAAATGAGCAACTTTAGTTTCGTTTTCTAGGCAACGAGTTAGCCAGGTACGAAGTAGTTTAGGTTACTTGCTCAAGTCATCACACGAACATGTGACGCACGTCATGCTGAGTAGAGTCTGCTCTTGCACACACGTTTCACAGAAGTATGAGCGAAACACAACACGACGGCAGTTGCTACCGCTAGCGATCACCGGTGGTACTTTGCCAGTATGTTCGTGACTGAGCTCCGGAGGTCACTTACGTCACTACATATTTGGTATGGCGTCAGTACACTTTTCGCTGCCATTTTTATGGAACTACATCAGTGTCGGGCGTCGTAGCGATGAGTCTTGATCGGAAGAATGAGCACACCCCGTGGCAGAGGTGTAGTGGGTAAGTTACTCGGCTGCCGACGTGCTGGTCGCGGGATCGGATCCCGGCTGCGGCGGCTGCCGTTCCAATGGAGTTGAAAATGCTATAGGCCTGTGTGATCAGATTTGGGTGCACGTTAAAGAACTCTAGGTGGTCAAAATTTGCGGAGCTCTCCACTACAGTGCCTCTCATAATCACAAAATGGTTTTGGAACATTAAACCACACATATCCATCCATCAAGAATGAGCACTCAATTACACTTTGAAAGGGAAGAAAAAAGCCTATTCTTAGCGTTTGCCGTGTCCGATATTTTGTATGGGGGCTCTTTCATCGCAAGTAAATCTACAAGGGGCTTGCTATAGCCTCAAATTTGTATGGCATAACCCCTTATTTCGGTTTGTGCTTGCAGGTGGCCCCAGACCGGGAAGACGATGTATCCCGACGCCTCAAGGAAACGCTGGGTGAAGTCGACAAGGCGCTGTGGATCTTCTCGTACTACCACGACCACGTGTATGGCATCGCGGGTACCAAGGCAGCCCCGCCGACTCCGACCCCACCTTCTATTAGCGAACCCGCCAATGGTAGTAGCAACACATCTTCCGTGCAAAATGACCCCGCCACAGGTGGGTTTAGCTTGCCACTTTTCAAAACTTGCCTGCAAAAGGGGACAGGGCTAGAAGAGGGGCAGCATCTTGCTGTCATATTGTACTTTTTAATGAATCCAGCATTCTGCAAACGAATATATAAATGGAGCTAACTCATGAAAGATGCATTATTTCTTGTACCTGAGGTTTGCTGGCCACAGTTTGATGCTGTGCGAACGAGGGAATTCTCCACAGGGCACCCACCCGAACCTCAAGTGTGAACCCGCAAGAAATGCTGGTTGGATGGAATGTAGAAGTTTAGCTAAGATTTCTCGGAACCATCGTCAAATTTAACCTTAGGATTATTGGCCCCAGCAGACGTTCATCGCATTGATCTTCTTGGGGGGGGGGCAGAATTTAAACTTGAAATTAATTTTACGAAGACTCTGTTTGACCGGTAGTATGGTCAGCGTCGTGTAGCAGCGCTATTGAAGAATACCAGGAAAGTACTTCACCTAATAGTCGCAGCCGTTTGTTATCATTAACCATCCCATCCTAACTTGCGGCCTTGGTGACCAACAACCTCTTGACATGTTTCTGTTGAACCTCACAATGCAATTTAGCAAAATATGATATGCAAATTTAGAACACAGCTCTAAACACTCCGACGAGTTTCCTCGAAGAATTCGACGTGTGAATGAAATCTGCATGAGTTTTCTCACATTTAAATGAATCTTCAGGCTGTGTGACCTTGCCGATTGATGTAGCGTCATGTGGGCCTTTTCGTTCTAGCATTGCAGACTCGCATGAGGAATATGAGTGTACAATGACTTTGTGCGAAAAATCTACCAAAGCATGTTGCTGTATGATTAAAAGGCATGTTGAATTTTTGTGACAAACGGTGGTAGGGCCGTTCGTGACTTTTGAATATTTAGGTTCGTTTTCTTTCTCGAGAAACCTTCTTGTGTTTCATTATCTTTAGTGAAATGTATGTACTATAAATCAAAGAGAAGAAAATTTTCTGAGCTATACTGGTAGTAAATGTGACGTCGACTTTTCATCGATCTTGTAAGTTGTGTTTGTGCAACTTAATCCTTTGTGTCTCAGGAAGCATGGTGTCATTAGGATACAAGACCATGATGTTCCTTTATTTATTGCTCTAAAGATTTGGAGACCTTCTTAATAGTTTTATGCCTTGCTAACGCTTCCAGGGTGCCAAGAAGATCCAATACCAAATCCCAAGCCAACGTGTTTGCCAGCTTTGCGTGCGGCTTCGAGCACAGCGTCCACCACGAACCCCCTCTTGGAACCATCAAGCCAAGAACTTCTGAATGGTCTTGACGTTCGACATCCCAGTTCTCATGCACCCTCCAAAGATGTCAACAATGAGAACAGTTCCGTCTCAGCACAGAAGCAGTCGTCTGTCGATTCTTCATTCCTAGCAATGCACACAGATACCAAGGACCCAGAAGCAGAAAGCACCAAGTTTTTTTTGGCGCCAAAGAGCCAAGGACTTCCAAATGGTCTTGTCGCTCGGCAAACCGCTGCCTATGCACCCTCCGAAGATGTAAACGAAGACAACAGTTCAATCTCAGCACAGAAGCAGTCTTCTGCCGATTCTTTGTCACTGACGGTGCACACAGAAGCCAAGGAGGTAGAAACAGGCAGCACCAAGTTGTCTGCCGATTATTCATCAGTGGGGAAGCACACAGAAACCGAGGACTCAGAAGCAGACAGGACCTGGTTTTCTTCAGTGCCAAAGGGCCAAGGACTTCCGAGTGGTCTTGTCGTTCGACCACCTACTGGCCGTGCACCCTTCGAAGATGTGAGCAAAGAGAACAGTTCCGTCTTAGCACAGAGGCAGTCGTCTGTCGATTATTCATCACCGATGATGCACACAGAAACCAACGATTCAAAACCAGACAGGACGAAAATTTCTTTGGTTCCAAAGAGCCAAGGACTTTCGAGTATACTTGTCACGCCAGCACCCACTGCTGGTGCACCCTTCATGAAAGCGAACAAAGAAAACCATTCCGCCTTCGCACAGCACGAGTCGTACACCAGCAAATCATCACCTACGGTGCACTCAGAACGCAGAAGCCCAGAACCAGGCAGCACAGAATGTTCTTCGATGACAACAAGCTCTTCATCGTTTGGACAGAGTGGAGTAAGGTAAGGTTTTATTGTGAAGTTTCTAAAAGCGATCCTTTCTGCTCAGGTGTGTCTCCAGTGCTACTCGCTATCTCGTCTCCTCTTTTTCCATTCATTTACACTTCCAATTAACTAACTCTCGAGAAAAGCAATATTCGTTTGATTCACTGTGTTATTGCTGCTTGTGGACCTTTGCATTAACGACGTTAGCTAGGGGAGGAGGCTTGCTAAAAAAACAGAGGAATTATTTATCTTCCGCTAATTTCTGCCCCAGAACCATATTGTATTGTGCTCGCACTTAGACTCAATGTCAGCAGCATATTTTTTCTTCAGATACTGAACTGCCGCTCTTCAAGTTTCATTTCCGAAGGGTTCGCTTACACGAGGAGGCAAGTTTTGCCAGTGACTATATATGCTGACGGATGTCGTCAAAAGCTCTTTGCACATCAGGGATTCTCACAGAATGCAGTGCGCTCTCTCTGGGTTGACCGGGCTGCACGTCAGCTGACATGCTTTGCTGGAGTGCAAATTGAGAACTTATCGGCAACGACGCAGGAAGTGGAACACAGGCCAAGCTCTGTCGTTAACGTCTTCTTAGCCTTATTACGCCGTTTATTTGTTCCTCTTCTTGTATCTTCGACGCGCTTATTGCATTATAACTGGAGCGTATCGAGAAATTTCTTGATGCACCATAATCTTATGTAGCTTTCAGTCTGCACTGTGCACTCACTAACTCATTCACAATAATCAACATTGGCTTTTGTTAACGTTTGCTGCGAAACACGAGGACGAAGAAATGCTGTCGACCAGAGGAGCGCTCAACATAAAACTGCATTTTACGGCTCAAACCATGCTGCATTTAGAGTCAAACCTGCCATGTCAGAATGCCATCTAAAGTTTCAAAAAAAGACATAAGTGTGGCTAAAGTTTCAAAACTATGAGTGTGGCACTCGGACACTTAAGCAGAAGGCAAAGAAGCAGAAACGGATTATGACAATGTGTACAGCAGCTGCAAAAATTCAATGAGCCGAACTTCATGAATCTTAAGAAGAGAAACTGGCGAACAAGCCACAACACACTCGGTCACCGCAATAACAATTCATGTTGGTAAATCAACGAAAAAATTACCAAGAATATAATGGTAAAAGGATGCAAATAATGAAACCACTGAGGTATTGCAGCTTCGCGTCAGTTAGCAAAATAGATGGCTTGCAAGTGCCACTGTTTCCCGCGGTTATGATTATTTTATTGATTTATTCAATACTGCAGACTCAAGGTCCCAGCAAGGTGGTTACTACAGATACAAATAAAATAAAAAAACTGAAATAAATGAATTAGCAATAGCAAAACTGAAGCAATAAAGGGCGAAGAAGATTGTCTGGTAAGGCGAGTCATTCATCGCAAGTATTAAGGCAGTTACATTTACAAATGCTTCGAATATTTGAAGTTCTGTCTTCTACCCTGTCTATTTGAAATTTTGGAGTTTTGTAAAACGGGAAAATATCCACATTGATCGCTGTGATTTGTCGGGAAGCTTACCACTGCGTTTCGCACATCTAAATCTTGTTTCAATCCCCGTTGCGTCAGCTAGCGATCTATTTCGCTCACTGACACTGAGGACTTACACCGGAAGGAATTTATTTAACGCCTTCTTTTACTGTGTTTATTCTTGGTCACTTGTTTATTGACTCACTCATATGAATGATTTTTGCAATGTCACTGCCTGCTTTGCATTGTTGGCTAGTTTCGCTTGTTGAGTTTCATGAAAGTTGGCCTATTGAAGCTTAGCTGTTATTGTCATATTTGTCAGCATCCGTTGTGTTAACCAGTGGTGCAACCAGTCAATGTTTTAACCAGTCGCTCGTACCTGATAAACAATGTCGCAACGTTCGTATGTGTCCTGCGGGACGGCCAGTGCGTTGTCCCTCGCATACTTTCGATATAACGTGAGGCAGCTTGCCAGTGTAGGGTTATTCCCTGCTGCGACTTTGTGGTAGGAATTCGTCTAAGATTTCGTTGTGAAGCTCCTGGCATTACTTTTGTCTTCGAACACTGACATTGGTGCTGAGCAGTCGGGGCGTCCAGCGAGCAAGTGGTATCTCTTTGCCTGAAAAGGTAATGGCGAACTCTTGGAGCGCCTTTTGTACTGATTCAAGCGTGTTTTGCATTACCGTGGTTTGAGGCGTACGTTTTTATACAGGTTTGTGACGGAATGCCGACGGTGTTGACAAGTAACACTTTTCAAGGTTATCGAACACGATCTTTTCCACCTGCTGTTTTTTTGTAAAACCTCATGGCCATCGAAATATGTAAGCTTTTATATTGTGCGCGCTTTTATGCACATTCTCGCTGAAAGGGTTTTCAGAGAGAAAAAGATGGTCACGTGGCCCAAAATATTGTGACACTTAAGTCTTGACTGAAACTTGGTAGTCACTGGTTTTCACAATTAACAGCATGTGGACAAAAACTGCGGAGTCCCCGACTGCTTTGGGATCTTATAGCATCATTGACATGCAAACCCGAAGGCTCAGCATATCAGAGCAGTGTCCCTAACAGTACTATCTTCTTGCTCTTCGCGTAGCGCCGAGCGTGCAGCCCTTCGAGAGCAGGCGCGAAAGGCTCGGGCCCTTCGCGTGCGTGGTCTGGGTGGAGGAGATCCAGGAGAATGTCCCCCCCTCATGAGCCCCGTCAAGGTATGATACACTCCGGACAACTAAACACAAGTGGAAGGGGTGTGTGTGGCGTTACTGTTGTGGACATTACGCATTGTCTTGCTGTGTTTCTCTTATTTTCTCATTGCTTTGACGCGATACTGTGCGTTGAGCTCAGGTAATTCATCGCTAGAAATAAACGAGCGATAATTTCATCGGCAATGACGCGACTGCGTTTTTCGACCTCTACATCAGAGCACCATCTTGGCCATCCAGCAAATCGAAATCGTTTCCATGTGCAAGAACGACCTTTATCACCTAAATTATATGAACAACTATGAAGGCAGGTAAAAGCTCGAGACAATGGTAGCAAACTGCGCCGCAGAGGACAAACATCTCAGAACGGCGTACTGAGTGCACTAGGCATTGGACAGGTAGAGGAGAAGTAGCATGTGAAACGTCACGAAGTTCTGAGAGAGCACTTTAATGGACATTGTTAACGTTGCTGCAGTTATAAAATATCGAGATTGTTTGTACACACGGGAACTGTTCCTTCCCAAACGGCGTGACTTGAGACAGCACAGCTGAGAGTTGATTACATCTTGCCAGTTCAATAATTAGCGTACCAAGTTTACTTAATTTAATTTCAACGTGTTCTCAATAAACCCAGCCATGTATATTAGCGCCAGATATACAAGAGAACACCACGATGCGAAAAGAAGTTTAAACAACGTGCAATTTGCTACAACTCGTGTATGACTTGCAGCAGCTCTTCTGCCGTAATATTGATGGTGAGCGCACCCAGTATTGCTAGAGAAAATCAACGCGGAAGGATCATTACTTAACGCCGTATGCGAAGAATGGCACACTGGCCACGGTTGTACAGGAGCGGCTGTAACTAAGCAGCAGCGGCGGCGCGCCACCCGCTCGAAAGCAAACTGCAAGCTCGTGGCGCGTTACAGGGGCGTCACTGTCGCAAGCGAAGGGAAAAAAAAGTACGCACCGAAGAAGAGGCGGGAAGGGAGAGAGCAGATGGCAGTACTATTACGAAGTATAGGGGCTTCAGACTTTAGTGCTGAATATTTTTAGTGAAACGTTACGAAGTGACTCTAAATATATGGAAAAAGGTAAACACACAAACATGATTGTTGAACAGTTGCATGTACTTTATGCACCCAGTTTTTTTTACATTTGAGTTAGGATGGCAAGAAAAACAATAGTATTATCAAAAGCTGAAGTGGTAAACCAAAATGTAGCTTCAGTGAGTCTGAAGATGGTAACCCTGCTCCTACGTAGACAAACAGCAGTGGTCAGTACTTAAGTATGATGGTCGCTGCCATGACGTTACTGCTGTATCATGTGTATTTTAGAAAAGTTAGATGGGTGGCAGTGGAAAGAGAATTGACGTTTCATCAATCTTATGCCTGCACGGGGTGTTTTTTCGAAACAGTTCCGAGACCTGGCGTGGTTTTGTGGGAGAATACATACTGCCAGGTACAATACTTGAATCACAATACTGCTGGCACCGTAAAATAAATTCTTTGCAATCCGTCGAGCCTGCGGTGCCAACGCCGGCTTCTCTTAATGCTATCGCACTGAATTTACCAATGTGGGTACTCGCTGTTCCCTCGCTAGGTATATACTGTCATAAACCGGTGGCATGGATGGATGGCTGGATGGCTGGATGAATGGATGGATGGATGGATGGATGGATGGATGGATGGATGGATGGATGGATGGATGGATGGATGGATGGATGGATGGATGGATGGATGGATGGATGGATGGATGGATGGATGGATGGATGGATGGATGGATGGATGGATGGATGGATGGATATGGCTGTACTCTATAGATCGGGCGGTGGCGAGCGCCACCAAGCCGTCATTCAACGCAGATGAATCAGATGAAGCACATAGCCGCATACAGTGCTCCGTGGTGGCGAATATGTCCCAAACATGTCAGGAGCAAAGGGTTTGACATTGTATGCGACCAGATTTTCAAATTGTTCATGTCATGTCCAGAAAGTGAGAATCGCCAAGGCCTTATAAGTTCCCATACCTATTTTGGTCTACCCGAAGTCATTAGGTGATCATGTGAGCACTAAGACGTTGGCATCTAGATAGATAGATAGATAACTAAATAAATATTTGAAAAGATAGATAGATAGATAGATAGATAAGATAGATAGATAGATAGATAGATAGATAGATAGATAGATAGATAGATAGATAGATAGATAGATAGATAGATAGATAGATAGATAGATAGATAGATAGTAACTTTGCAGCAGAAGATGTCCGCACGGTGCCCACCTCACTATAGTTACGGGGTGCCATTACGACATTTTTCGCGGTCCTTCATATGGAGCTACGTGAATGCTGGATGCGCTAAAGTAATTGGCCTCGATTGGTGAATTTAGTATTGACGTGCACTTTGGAAGTGACTATTTTAAACGTTCGCCATGTCCCACTATTCTTGTGTTGTCCTTGCATGCAGAAAAATTCACACGAGGCTTGTCATACCTGGAAATTCGATGGCACCACCCGTTTCGTGGTTTTGTGCTTACAGGTGCTTCCTGGCCAGGAAGACAAGCTGGCGCGACGCGTCCAGGACGCCTTGGGTGACGTCAACGTGGCGCTGTGGCTCTTTGCAAACCACCGCGACCACCTGTATGGCCTCGCGGGCAACAAAGTGGCCCAGCAGACTCGGGCCCCGCCTCCCATTGGCAAACCCGTCAATGGCAGAAGCAGCACTTCCTCGATGAGGAATGACAACGCCATGGGTGGGTGTTGCTTGCAACTTTTCGAATTTTGCACTTAAATAGGACTGCGCTTTCTTAATTACGCACAGTGTAAATAAGGAAATACATTTAGATTAATTCCTTCAATAAGATTATCTTTACAAAGTTGAGAAGCTAAATTGTACACACTCATGGTTTATTTTCTTTTGATTGTCAAAAGCATATTTGGCTATATAGAGGGAAAGTTGTCTCTACCACTGTATGCATCCTTTGTAGGCCGCTCATGAATTGTTTTGGCCTAATCATAGGATTTTTATATACTGTGTGTTTAACAGCAGAGAAATGAATATTATGGCGAAATTACTAAATTTCTCGTAATATTCATAATAGTATAGTTAATAGCCTTGTACAATATACTATTGCTCCCATTAGTGATGAGGACTGAGTAACACTGCACCAGTCGTCATCACTGATTAAAGCTCGACATTTGAGACAAAGGGAGGAGGTAGCCAGCAGTTAAGAGTGCCCAGATATCTGTGTTCTAATGATTTGGGCATCGGTTTATCTTTGCGCAGATCCTGGAGGAACAAGAAGTAGCAGTAGCAATAGGAGCAGCTCGCTAATTACTGAGAAACACCATAGTAATCGCGCGAGCAGCAGCGGTTGCCATGTCAGCAGTGGTGGCAGCACTCATCCTGCTAGCCAGTCCGGCACACGCAATCAACAGCAGAGCTCTGCTTACGGCACCAGCTCAAGCCATCTTTCACGCCACGACAGCAGTCGCCACTCTCAAAATCATCACCCGAGGCAGCAGCTGCCACACCCTCCTCAATCACGTATGGACGGTCATTACAAGCCATCGACTGCTTACTCGTCTTCCGCAGCAGGCAGCAAGAACCGCAGGCACTCGGCCCAGCCTCTGCAGGGCTCATGGCTTCAACCCCACCAGTCAAGGGGCATTTCCTCTAAGCAAGGTGAGGACCACACCAGTCTAGCTCTTTTTTCTTGTTTTCAGAAAGGGCCGTGAACGAGCGGAGTGAATATAAAGGAACGCTTATTGCAGGTGCTGCCATGTTGTCTGAAAATATTCTACTTCGCACTCACACCACTCATAAAGAAACTCCTCAGTGACATTTTTGGAGCTCCGCATGAATCCTAATAATTTTAAGTTGCTAATAGTTCTTTATCTCATCGCCATTCCCTCAAAACGTATCCGACGAAATCATAAAGCCATAGTGGTTAGTATTGGAAGAAACTTCACATAAAAATCCAACCACAAGTCTTGTGTTTTTTTTTCAGAGCACAACCAGGATGGAAAGGCATTAAAAGATTGTGTTTGTTCTGATACAGTTTGGAGCACGGATGCAAAATATATTGGTGGAAGCTTCGAATTTTTGCGACTTTTCGTTCCCATCTACCATCTCATTCAAGTTAGGGCACTGCTGACAAACATCCTGTATATTGACACTTGTTGAAAATATATTTATAACCCATTTAGTGAACGTGGAGGCTTCCGGTATTGCGGTTGGGTGGTTGAGCATTGAACGTGCTATTCGAAAGTACGAGGTTCTAATACAGCTTTTAGCAAGTAATTTTTTTACCACTTTTCTTTCTGCACATTTGCATTAGAATTTGTGTTTAGACCATTCACTCTACTATTGTAGGCACACTTGTCTGTCAGTTTTCATTACTACGTTGTTTAAAAAGGAAAAAACAACGAGCCCTAATGCGTCTTTTTTCAATTAGAACTATTCTTGCAAATTTTTTGGGCTACGTTGTTTACAGTGATGGTTAATTTCTAATTTGATTGTCAAGAGGCATATTTGGCTATTGTATTTATTAGAAAAGTAGTCGCTAGCACTGCATGTATGTTTTATGGGCCCTCATGGTTTTTGGCACTATTCGTGAAATCTATATAAATTCCATGAATATTGCCAAAGCTATGTTTAAAACAATAGAATGAATAATATTGTGGAATATTACTTTTTGTATCAATGGAAATAGTATTGGTAGAAGGCTTGTACAACATAATATTGTCCCTACTAGTGAATAAGACTAATACAATGTAACACTGTACGAGTCCTCATCACTGCTTGAAAGCTTAAATTTCAAGAGAAAGGGAGGATCGAGGCAGCATTTAGGAGTGGCCCCATATCCGTTTTATAACGCCCTGCGCATTGATTTATCTTTTTACAGATCCTGGAGAAACAAGGAGTAGCAGTAGCAATAGGAGCAGCTCTCTGTCTACCGAACAACACTATAGTAATCATGTGAGCAGCAGTGGTCGCAGCGCGTATTCTGCTAGCCAGCCCAGCACGCGCAATCAACAGCAGAGCTCCAGTTACAACCCCAGCTCAAGCCATCTTTCACGCCATGACAGCAGTCACCACTCTGGCAATCATCACACGAAGCAGCAGCTGCCGCACCACCCTCAATTGCAAATGGGGGGCCAGTACAAGCCCTCGCCTACTTCCTCGTCTTCCTCGGCAGCCAGTAAGAACAGTAGGCACTCCGCCCAGCCTCTGCAGGGCTCATTGTACCAACCTCACCAGTCCAGGGGCAGCTCTTCGGAGCAAGGTGAGGACCACACCGGCCTAGCTCTTTTTGCTTATTCTACTTAAAGGGCGCTGAATAAGCCACGTGGCTATAAAAGAACACTCATTGCAGGTGCTGCCAAGTTGTCTAAAGATAATTTTTTTGCAGTCACTCGCCGCATAAAAACTTCCTCTGTGGCACATCTGAAGCCACGCAGTACTCTTTACATCATGTTGACCGTTTTTTTAAGGAGTATAATTTCTTTGTCGGGCTTTGTCAGGCGTCCTTCGGGATCTGTCCTCCACCCTCTACCATAGCAGTAACTGCGGGCGCGCACGTCCCTGAATACCGGAGCTTCTACCATGTCACGTATTGGTGTCTGTAGCTGCCCACAGCAGCAGCGGGCACGCGCGCTTTTTCTCGCCCTTAGCAAATGGAGTTCTACGTTCTTGAATTGAACGTGACTTGCCACCACCTGATTGCAGTGCGTTTGAAACGCGTTTGTGCTGCCAACGTTGGTGTATACGCAATACGCAATTTCCTCATACGTCCTTTCGGGGAGGTGGTTTTTTGTGTGTAGTGGATATTTCCTTAAATAATATATCAAGTCAAACTGGTTATTATTGGAAAAGACTTCTGCAAACAAGAAAGCGTTATTCCTAAAACTCTAAGCACAAATCTTGTGTGCTTTTAAATCTTTCAGAACACAGCCACAGCTGGAAGTCATTAAAAGTTACGTTTGGCATGTAGTATGGCCAGATAATATTAGCGTACCAATGCTGAATATATTATTGAAAGCTACTAAATATTGTGGCTTTTTTTCATCTCAAGCGAAGTTGGGGAACTGCTTACAAACAACCTTTATATTGATGCATTTTGAGTGTCCGGCCTCTCCATGCAGTTCTGTGAATTATGATGGTGCAAGTGTTGCAGGCAGCTGAGCACAATGTAACTAGTTTCCTCAAAGGATTCCAACAATGCAATCAAAATGGGTACTAACACTGAGTGCGCCAGCTTTCACTGAATAATTAGCCTCTGTGAACTTCTCAAATGTTATAGGTCTGTATATGTTTCTTCCGACTAGATTGAGTATGTGTGTGAGCAATATGAGTGCACAATGATTACATGCAGGGAAGTTCAGCAAAGCATGTTGTAGTGTGATTATTAGGCCTTAAGAAATACTTTGACGAACAGAATAATTGTCAATAATGTCTTGATTGTTTAGTTTTGCATGCTTTTTTAAGAAAGCTGTACTATAAATAAAAAAGAAGCCAACACTCTGACTTCTATCGGTGGTACACATGAACATAGCTTTTCCTTCCTCTTGTTCTTGTGTTTGTTTGAGCTTATATGTTCTCTCAAAAACATGACCTTGTTATGATGAAAGAGTGGTAGATTTCATTTTTGTTGCACTATGAATTTTCAGATCTTCTTTCACTGTTTTATTCCTTGCTCCTACTTACAGGCTTGCTAGGGAATGCAACGTCAAATCCCAAGAAAAGACCTTTGCCATCTTCAAGTGGGGCCTCGAGTGCAGCCTCCACCACGAATTCCCCCGTGCCTTCGTCGAACCAAGAACCTCGGAATGATCTTGGCGTTCGACCACCAGCCAAGCGTGCACGACGGTTGTGAACAACAGAAACAGTTGCCCCTCAGCACAGGACTATTCACCTACAACTTCATCATTCATAATGTGCACAGAAATTCCAGAAACCTGTAATATCCCAGAAACCTGTATCCCCACCCATATGGTGGGGCATATAATCGCCGCATAGGACCCATGCATCTGCCATAATGGCCGCATGTGCGAGCATTTTACGCATAAAAGAAAAGCAAGAAATGAGGAAGCTCTGACAAACTTTTCTTCAACGAAATTTGATTCCGTGTGCTTACACAGTATATATACCGAGAAGTCTGTAGTTGCAAGAATCCCGAGCTTGATAACTGTATTCACAAACACCGTTGTGCTTCCATTTCATTTTCTTTTTTTTCTTATGTTTTGTAAAAATTTCGCATAACCGTCTTAACTGTCTTTTGTATACGTTTTTACTGCATGTCTGCGCTATGTGTGTTTTTCCGTTATTATCCCTTTCATGCCTGTTATTACTACTATGTAACACGTTCGGCCTTTTTGTTGCTTGCCGGTTGCTGTGACACATGCCACTGATTGCTTAGGCAGGCCTCACAAGATATTCTGTTTCATCCTTTCAGTCTGTAAATGAGTCATTGACATAGCATGAACATCATTGTATAGTGCACTCAATATCCGATTTATCGAAAATGGCCAGATGTTACGCTGGTTTATGCACATTATGGCGACTAGTTCTATTGCACTGCGAATAAATATGTACTTATCATGAAGTCATTGATGATCTTTTTCTACATGAATACAATCAAATCTCAGCCGTGAAATACATTGGAAGCTCGTTTGCAACGCCAACATGCAGTTTCGTCTTGGTTCGGGAAAAGTGGCAGGTTGCACTATTCGTTGAGCATGCTAATCCTTCTGTAGCGTTTCTACATTCAAAAGTACTAAAAGAAATTAACTCAAGAAAACTTTATTAAGAGGTCAGTGTATGTCGAGGTAACTATTTCAGTATTTACTTTAATAGTTAACGCAGTACATCCTATTAAATATAACATTTCTTCTAATTCTTGCGCATGCATGTTTGGTATTCCTGCGTTGTTTTTTTTTCAACCTAGCGCTTCTAAAACGACTTCGCGTTTGTACACTTGTGACGGTTCGCTGATGCATTCCTGGCTTCTTTTTTACATTGAAGGCTTCTAGAGCTTTAACGCCGCTTTGTATCGACTCATATTTCCAACCAAGGATGGGCTTTAAACGAGAAGTCATTCGCTGGCTCTACAAGGAAGCAGTTTTTCAGCGCACGAAAACAACTTGGGCAGAGAAAGAAAGGACAGGCGCTAACTTGCAGCAATGTTTAATCTGGAAAAAGATAACCATACATAGGCACCATCGCTTTTATATCATCATGATTGAACGCACATCGTGAACTCACATATCGTTACGTAGATAGGCTAACTCCTTACACGAAATGGCAATTGACGGTTTAGAAACAGTTATCTGCTGGTCTATCAGTCATCTCAGCCTAGATTGTTTCGAGGGTCAGCTCACCTCTGCTGGTACCAACAACTGAACTCGATAGAACTCGCCGTGCACATCGTACGGAAATCGACACTTGAATGGTCATTTCGAAGATAGGCTGGTCGACAACTGTGTTTTCTATAACGTTGGTTGCACTTTCGTGTATGAAGTTCGCTTATCTACGTAAAGTTATGTGAATGGGCAAATTGCGTCTGATAACTGATGAATGAAAAGCACTGGTGCCTGCATATATGCTTATCCTTTTTTGGCATAAACAATCTGATGAGTTAGCACCTGTTCCGTCTTTCCCTGTCCGTGTTTTTTCCCTGCGCTAAAGAAACACAGTATGACGCACCAACACACCCAAACAAAACGCTGAGTTAGTACGCTTCGTCTCTACTCTACAATAAATTGCAAGCTGAACCTGGTCTCTCAGCCGTTCGTTTCAACACACTGTTTGTCCTATGTATACCCTACTACATGTAGATGGGATGTGATACGCCCCACATTTTTTTCGCTCGTGACAAACTGTTTCATCAGACATAAGCGTGGTGACAGAAAGCTAACACTGACGGCTCGACTATGACGGCATACCGTTGCCCACCGTTGTCAAGTAATGTAACAAAAAAGAACAATTACCAAGTAATCGCTATGTCCTTTTCCAAGTTTTGATCGCTTCATTGAATATTCATTATTTCTTTGTTCTACTCTAGAAAAAAAATGACTACATCAATGCTAAACCAAAATGAAAGCACCCACGGCAGGCAGTCGCCACCGGTTTCAAGGCGTGCCCCACCGCCAAAGCGCACCCCGCTACACACGGCACAGTTCACCCTTGTCGCAGCTGGCAGGCGGGCAATCATGGCATGTAGCCCCTCTCCGCACACGCAGATGAACTCGTTCAAAGACCTTGCCCCGCCGTGGTGGTCTAGTGGCTAAGGTACTCGGCTGCTGACCCGCAGGTCGCGGGTTCGAATCCCGGCTGCGGCGGCTGAATTTCCGATGGAGGCGGAAATGTTGTAGGCCCGTGTACAGAGATTTGGGTGCACGTTAAAGAACCCCAGGTGGTCGAAATTTCCGGAGCCCTCCACTACGGCGTCTCTCATAATCATATGGTGGTTTTGGGACGTTAAACCCACAAATCAATCATCATCAATCGTTCAAAGACCTTTCAAGTAACACATGAGCATAAGACACTGCTGTATGCCAGCTAAGAAAGATAGCTTGCACAGCGAAGACCTTGGACACTTCTCTGACGACACGTGGACAGTGAAGACGGAGAGCGCGCACAGAATGTATACCGGTGCTGTGCTCACGAAGTTGGGTAATGGCCGAACCGCTAAGATGGCCTGGCTACCTGGCGATGCTATTGCTCCATTATCTCCACCTCGAGGGTCGTGGTTCTGTGCACAACCCCGATGCTTTAACGCATGTCATAGAAATTCGATATACCATCCCCGTCGAGCACTCGGTGAAATGAGTGGCATGGCTCTTAGGGCGAGTTTCATTGAGACGTGAGGAACACTCAAAAGCACAGTGAAAAGGCTTTCTTTTCAGAGGCATATTAATATAATAAATAAATCACTAATAAATAATGCCCCTATCGCAAATTCAAAGTGTGCGTTAAAAAATTTGGTGCCGCTTCCACTTATAATTTTCTACGTATACAAGTCTGATGGGTTGCCATCTCTACTTTACTTTTACTTTGAAGAGCCAGAAAACATCGATACTTTTTTATTATTTCCCGACGTTCCACAAGCCACAGAAAGAAATATTCAGAAACTATTGTTCAAAAACTAAACAATAATATCAATTGTGGAAATATCCTTTCCTTTGGGGCTTCTTCTCTGGGTCACAGCAACAGGAGTGTCATTGTCAATTTGCTTGTCAACTTTTATTCTTCTTTAGAAGTATTAAAACTGCAGTTCTTTAGAATTGTCATATAATTATTCATTTCAAATATTAGTTGTTTACCTACTTTATTTTTGACTCACCCAATGATTATTCATATTACAATACCCGCAAGTTTAATGGCCAATCATCCATAGTGGGCACAAGCCAAAGCATATAGGAACAAGCACGCAACACTTTTACCTACATAGAGCAAGTCAAGCGCTGTCTCCTCTTTGTCTCATGTCTTTGTAAAAAGGAGGTTACAATTACCCATAATTTTATCCTGTTGCGTTTACACATCGGTAGGGAGAAAATTTCCAGCACCACCTCTTCAAAACTTGGGTCTGGAAATATCTGAAGCAGTTGTTTCTTCGTTTGGCGCCTTTTTACTCTAGGCTATAGTCAGAGGAATGCTTACTACGCCAGAGGGGAATTAATCAATCAAACAAAAATATATACCTAATTTCATCATTTTTATACGTACAAATTCTAATAATGTTTAATTAGTTTGTTGTATTATCCATTCCAAGCTCAATCGAGGAGTATTGCAAAGAAGCACCTAAAAACAACAAAATAAAGTTCATTTAACACTCTGAATCCCCTGCAGTGGCTAATAGCCATGAGAAGAAGAGAAGAAAAAGTAAAATTCCCTCACGTGCGCGCCAGCTAATGCTCATAATTTTACAAGAAACTTGGCTGTCTGCTGATCAAAACTTCTATCTAAAAGACTATCAGTGCTTTCGACTGGACCGAGACTCACGTGGTGGAGGATTAATGCTTTTCATTTCATCCAAAATTTGCCATAATTCACACTTAGTTTACCAACAAATATCAGGCGATTATGAAGTATTGGTTCTGGAAATTCACTTTCCCGGATGCGCGCCACTATCTATAGTCAACAACTACTTTCCGGCTGGAATACAAGATGAAAGAGCCCTTGACGTGACTGCGAGTTTTTGCAAAACAGTATGCTAGTGGCGGGAGACTTCAATTCCCGTCACGTTTCATGAGGATTCCGCACTGATTCATCAGGAAAACGGTTGTGGGACTGGACTAATCGGAATAACCTTATTTGTTGGAACTCCAGAGTTCCGACATTCGTTCGATGTAATTCAAGGTCCGTCTTAGATTTGACATTTGCTAGCTCAAGTGTGACAATATCGTCTTGGACTGTTCTTGATACTGCTACAAGTAGTGATCACTGCCCCCTGGTATTTGAAGTCAGCATTCCTTTAGTGACGGTAGATCGCCAGGTGCAAAGTTTTGTAAACTACTCTAAGTTTAAAAAGAACTTACAGTCAACGCTGTTTTTCTTGCCCAATATGGAAGCAAATATGAAAGCTATGAGCCTTTGTTCCCCCCTAAAGTGTACAATTAAAAAATCACAGTTCACTATATCTTCAACAAAGGGAAAATTCATATCTGCCTGGTGGAATGCAGATTGCGCCAGAGATTATAGACGCTGCAACGCTGCATGGAAAAAACTCCTCACCAACCAATGTCCGACTGATTGGAGAAATTATTCATTTGCTAAAGCTACCTTTAGGAGAACAGTTTCATTAGCGAAAGACGATTATGAAGAAAAACGGTACAGCTACTTATCCAAGAGTGGCAACAAGAAAGCTCTACTCAG